AGTTCAGAGTTGGGGCTCAAGCCACTTGGCTCTTCTGGGAGAAGCCCAGGTCTCCCCCTAAGGAAAGGGGGTGCCTAGGCCTCACTGCAGCTCTGCTGTGGAGGGCAGGGGCACCTTCAGCCCAGATCCGAGGTGTTTCAGCCCAACTCTTGCTTTCCCAGGGGTCCTAGCCTGTCAGCAGCAAAGCTGTTTGCCTGCACACCTCTGGTTGCAGGGCTGAGGTTTGTGCCTGCAGGCAAAGGCACCAGAACAAGCTGAGAATTTCCTCTAAGGACTAGCTTCATGGAAGCCATACCTACAAGGATGCAAATACACATCAGACACAGGCTTCAAAGAGATACGGACTCTCAAAAATTGTTCTTCTCAGTCTAGGGAAAGGAGAACAAACGCATTTGCAGCAGGCAGTACCGTTCAGAATGACCACAGGTACACGCTTACGCTGGAGATCTACTGCCAGGCACAATGCAGCAATACAAAAAACAGCTCAGGTACATTTGGCAGTCTTCATTTATTCAGCTTAAACAAAGATTTATATATTTTTTTCTTAAAAAATAATCAATAAATAAAACAGACATCACTGAGGAAACACTATATTGAGTGGAGTACCATCAGGGACATTAAATAGAACCCCCACCGCAGCTTAAAGTAGCTCTCCACACCACAATGAAAGAACATTTTGTAAGGCCTAACTGTTCACAAGCGAGACTGGCTGTTCTGTCCGAACCTTCCCGTATTTATAATGCCCTATTCACGGATGCAGGGGTTGTCATTCTCTGTCGCACAAAACACTACTGTTGGAACCAGGCCTTTGTACGGTATTTGCTTGCCATCACTGGCAAAAGTGCTAAAATCATTTCTCCAGTCTTACAGCAAGAGGGATGCTCCAAAGCAGCAACAAGCCCTCGGGACCAGGCTTGGGGGGGGTTTCCCTGCCCTGGCATTTACTGCCAATCCCGTTTGGGATTTCCCACTGAGTGCTAGCCAGAGCCCCACTAATGACAGGGTTACCTCTGCCCTGTCACAAACCATGGGGTTGGGGTTTGGGTTTTTTTGAGTCAGAAAACAAGTAATTATCCTGAAAACAAAGTCAGTTATCAGCTAAAGTGCAGGACCCCTGCAGCAAGAAGTACACATCCATTTTTAGACTCAACATCAGCTTTAGCATAGCCCGTAAGGATTCTCCGCACAAATAGTAACAAATTCAGTTTTGGGAAATAGTGCCTATAAAACTTTAGGGACTGTAACATCACCAGCGAGGTTTCCTGGGAAGACCAGGACAAAGGCCCGTTCTGTATCGCTAATTCTGCATGAGAAAAGCATCCCCCCTGCCCCAGCTACACCATCCTTCCATGAAGTACAGGCAGGAGCACTGTCCCACAAGCTGTACTTTGGCTACCAAGAAAAGAAGCACAAACCTTTAGAAAAATACAATGCGAGAAAAAATTTGAGATAAAAATATAGACCTTTGGTTAAAAACCATCCCTTTAACAAGAGTCCTTTGTAACTCAGCTAGAACAAAAAAGCTTCACTGAGACTGAACAGTAGTAAAAATCAGTTGTAAGCGCTTATTTCCTAACCCAGAGGACCCTTCTAAAATGTCAGTAAGGTTTTTTTTTTTCTTTTGCAGGATTTACACATTTGATGTTCATTATTTATAGGGATCATTATATTTGCAGCAATAAACTATATAAGTTTGTCACGAAGAGAACGTTTGTAGCACAAGCTCCTCCACCAACAGTCTTTTTAAAAAAAAAAAAAGCAAAAAACAAAACCAACCAAAATCTAGAAGTTCTTAATTAAAGAACCGCTGAAACATGTAGTTTTCTTCAGATACCGAATAGCCAAACTTCTTATAGAAATCCACATTTTTTGGCAGACACTCAAGTGTAATTTTGTAACAGTTCAGTCTCTTACTTAGCAACGTCAGGGTGGACGTTAATCTGAAAAAGAAAACCAACCGTTAGAAGAAGCAGCCCCGAACGCCAGATCAATTAACGTTTAATTGGCTGAAGTTACCAGACCTACAACACTCAAGTTTTACAGCGCTCCGTGTTTTCCTTCACTGCACAGGGCAGTTGCTATCCCAAGAAAAACAGAACCAATTTTACGTTACTGTTTTAAGAACCTCTGCTTGCGCTCCGCCAGCTTGCGATACCTTCTGGCTAAACTCTTTTTAACCCAGCTGGCTGGGGAGGATCTGCCCTGCAGCTGACCCGCAGAGCTAAACCCCTGCTCTCGGAGGTCTGGTGAGCTGTCTTTGCCCGCTGGTTCGCTGGTGCCCATCAGCGTGGCAAGGCGGCGGGGGACAGAATCCAACCCGGTGAGGGCTCGCTGCCCTGCCTGGCACCGAACGGCAGAGGTGGCGAAAATACTTACAGTTTACCAAGCTGCTTTCCTCTGCACTCCCCGCTTACTACTACATCTTCTATCCTTCCTCTCTGTGAAAATACAGGCAAGCGTTAGTCGAATGCAACACTGCTGTGCTAGTTTCCCTGCTGCGCCACATTTCACGCTTGGATTTTCTGTTTAGACACAACTAAGGACGTGCTCGTAACGCCCCTTCCAGCAGCCGGCGGGAGCTGCGGTCCCACCACGGCCCTTCCCCGCTGGGGGGTTTGTGTCTCTCTAGCTCCCTGGTTTCACACGTCTGGCTGGGAATCCATGGCAGCGAGATCCTCAGCCATCTGCTCCCTCAGAACCAAGCCTGACTAGTTCAAAAGCTCGCTGGGAGGGGGAACGAGACAGACATCACATTGCTCTTTTTCCTTCAGAAAAACCAAAGCTTCCTTTTACTATTGAGCTGAGCGTCCAAGGATGGGAGATATTTTTAAAACGCCTTTGTCACCAGCTCAGCAGAAGGTACTTCATCACACAGTAACACCGTAAACATCTTTTTCCTCACTTTACAGCTGCAGCGAGAGAATATACCTTTGCACAGGAGTGAGTGAACTTATGTTCTATAACCAGCGTTGCCGTAGCAACAATCTGTCCAAGATTTGTGTCTTCTACGACAGTAACGTAGTAATCGCCAGATCTCTTCATGTGCTCAAAGGTTTCTGTTGGGAGCAGACAGAGAGCGGAACAGTCACCGTTAATCTCAGATTAAATTGCTGTGAAGTCTTTAACACTTGCAACAGATTCTGAACGCGGATCACTGCGGGGGGTTCAGGATCACAAGGAAGATGTGCCCAACACCCCGGAGTCAGACTAACCCAGAGACGGAGCCAGGAAAAAGCAGAAATTAAACAGAGGCCTTTTCCTCAGCTGCCAAGAGAACCCTCCTTCCCCAGCGTCTCTGCAGACGGGCACTGCGATGAAGGTGGCAGTACTTCTAAGTCTTCCTACATCTCAGTCCAAGCTCAGGACACTGCTGAGCCATGATCAAAGGCAAGCCTCTACCTCACTACTGGCGCTGCAATAGTTCAGCCAAAACAAGCCATCACCCCGGTAGTCCCTTCTGCCAGGTATCTAAAGCTCAGTCTCAAAAGCAGGTATACAATTTAGGCCTGTCCCAGCCAAGACGCCCTTTGGCATAGCTGCAACTGGATCCAATGCCGAGTGCCAAAGGCTGCCTTGGGGGACCTGAAGGAATAAATCCCTCTGGCATCGGGCAGTCGGGAGCCTCACACCCCAGGAGCTTTGCTGTCAGCATCAGTATCCTCTGGTTCCCAGCAACCTCTGTGGAAACGCCAAGAAATAACGATATACTCACTGATAAACTGCTCTGGGCTTGCAACTCCAGTTTCAGTCAGCTGACCCAGAACCTTAAAAAAGCCTGTTATAAAAGAAGCAGGGGGAGGTTAAAAAAAAAAAAAATAAAATAAAGAACAAACAACACCCTCAGTGAGGGACAGAGACACACAATGAGCTCCAAATAGCACAGAACGACGCAACACGGCTGTTCGGAAAGCTAACATCCCCGTGGCACCATCCAATTCAGCTGTATGTAAAAGCCTGCGCTCTGCGTGTTACAGAACTGGGCTGTAAGCTTAAAAATCAAACTCCTGCCTTGAGCAACGCCGAAGGATCAGCTAATGCATCAGCAGCAAACTGCAGCTTGAGTGCAGGAGATGCATACATTCAAGAAAGAAAAGTACAAGCCTGAAATTACGCGACGTTAAGCTGTATGTTCAGCCCAACCATTTGGTCCAAGTTACAGAACTGAGGAAGTCTCCATGCACCAAGAGTAACAACGCTGGTTCACTTCTAATATTAAAGGGAATGAACAACCGTGCTCCCTCTCTAAAGCTGTGGTGAATAGGAGGCTGTGGATTGTTTGAAAGATTTGACTTGAATTTTAAGATTGGTTTTGAGGTTATTGAAACAGGAAAACCAATTTTGAGGGTCACCCAACACAGCACCGATCCACAGTGCCGAGCGCTCAAATTCCCTGCTGATAAAAATAACCCACATCAGATGAAACGAGCAATCCTAATCGATTGAGAGATCATGCAGAAATACTATATATTATCTAGCTCGGCACCCAGCTTTCGTCAGTGATGATCATTAAACAGGATTCTACCTCGGTTTAAATCAGCTGTGCAGAGCGGTCTCAAAACTAGGCCATCTCCTGGATCTAAAGGAGAAATAGCAGGAGAAAACGTCGTCGTGTTCTCACTCCAGTCAAGTTCATGCAGAATATTTGGGTCAAACATCGGCGTGTCGTCAGGCATCACGGTTGCAACAGGCATCATGGCTGCAACAAGTGTTCTGGAACAGAACGCACAGGGGTAAGGAACATTTTGGTCTGCTCTTGGTTTAATCTCTATCTGCCCTGGTTGTATCACACCTTGTGATGTTCCTGAGGGATGTAAAGGTGAATGAAACCAGAAACGTTCACTTTATCTGCAACTGAAGCTACTCAACCTTCACCAGACTAGGCCACTGGGTTAAAGCAAGAGCATGCACGTTATCTAAAGTCAACTCATGTGGGACTTTTGTGTTCATCTGGGAAGTTTTTTTCTCTTGGAAAAAACCAAACCAAAGCAGGTAACACATTGCCTAGGATGTTTAACCTCTATAGCCCTCTGAAAAGGAAAGCATCTTGCACTCCCTAACGTGCTGTTTCCCAGTACAGAGGAGATCAGTTGCGTTAGCGTTCCAGTTCAAACTGGCGGTAGAACAGTACGCTTCTTTCATAGAATCATAGAATCGCTTTGGTTGGAAAAAGACCTTTGAGATCATCGAGTCCAACCTTTAACCTAACCCTGCCATCCCACCACTAAACATCATCTGTTACCAGGGAGAAGAGGCCGACCCCCTCCTCACTACAGCCTCCTTTCAGGTAGCTGTAGAGGGCGATCAGGTCTCCCCTCAGCCTCCTCTTCTCCAGACTAAACAACCCCAGTTCCCTCAGCCGTTCCTCGTATGACTTGTGCTCCAGACCCCTCACCAGTTTTGTTGCTCTCCTCTGGACATGTTCCAGCAATGCAACATCCTTCTTGTAGTGAGGGGCCCAAAACTGAACACAGTATTCGAGGTGCGTCCTCACCAGCACCGAGTACAGGGGCACGATGACTTCCCTTGTCCTGCTGGCCACACTATTCCTGATACAGGCCAGGATGCCATTGGCCTTCTTGGCCACCTGGGCACACTGCTGGCTCATATTCAGCCGGCTGTCAACCAGTACCCCCAGGTCCTTTTCCGCCGGGCAGCTTTCCAGCCACTCTTCCCCACACCTGTAGCGCTGCATGGGGTTGTTGTGACCAAAGTGCAGGACCTGGCACTTGGCCTTGTTGAACCTCATGCAGTTGGCCTGGGCCCATGGATCCAGCCTGGCCAGGTCCCTCTGCAGAGCCCTCCTCCCCTCCAGCAGATCAACACTCCCACCCAGTTTGGTGTCGTCTGCAAATTTGCTGAGGGCACACTCAATCCCCTCATCCAGGTCATTGATAAAGATATTAAACAAGACTGGCCCTAGGACTGAGCCCTGGGGGATGGGAACAGTCCCATCACGTAGACATTGCGTATCTCGGCCGAGAGGCACCGCATCATGCCTAGGAAAACACAGACGACACGACAGCCTGCACGCAAGGCTTACAGCCCGTGCTGCGCTTCTCACGCGGTCACGTTTGCTCGGAGTATTTACAAAAGCTCACGCCACCCCAAGCTGTACAGCACAGCGCCTCGCTGTCCACTAACAGGTAAAACGCAGGGCTGCCAAGATGACGGTGAGACACCTGTTAATGATTAAAGAGAGATGTGGGAATCACGTATTATTCGGAATTAGGGATAGGAAGAAGCAAAGGGGTGTATTTTCCTAATTGCGGGAAAAGAATTCTTTCTTTGTCACCTGTGGAATACCTGGTCAGGTTTCTGGTGCAACCAGAGCGTATCACAGGAACCTCTCCTGAGACTAAGTGCTTTCTAAATCTTCAAATTAACTTAGCTGCACCATAAAGATACAGTAGTCGCAGACTGGTGGACAGGCCCAAGGAACATCAGAAAGAAAAAGGTATTTGGGATGAATAGTTTTCAAAATAAGAGATCTTACAGCCATGTTAAGCTGCCCAGAGAAAGTACAGAGGACCTTAGCTACAAAGCATCTCAGCGTAACTGCAGCATGCAAGCCTCAAAACTGAAGGTGGCTATGGAAACCCAACTGAAAAGGCTTCTTTAAAAAAAAAAACCTAGCACAAAAATCTTATTTTATGCCACCTGCTGGTATACACTGGCCCTTAAATCCCCATTCTCATCACAAACTTTCATGAAAAGTAAAAAAACTGCTGTTACAGCAATTAAACAGCAATACAAATTCTCACCCTGCGTGAATTTTCAAAATGAAACAGTGGGGAAAAATGGAGTGTAAAGAAAAACATTTCCACAGAAGGGAGAGTCAGAAGTGAGAACCCAGGGCTTCCGAGTCCCAGTCCTGAGCTCTGGCGACCAGATCGCGCCGATGTGTGGAGGACGGCAAGCCCATCGCCAGCATGTTCATTATGTCACTGCTAAGCAAACCTGAGGTCTCCCTGCTTCCAGCAACACGTTTGGTACCTCTGCTCCTAGATCTCGATTATTCCAACGTTGCCGTTACCCTGTCCCATTACAAAGCCTTCCTAGAATTCGCAAGTTTTCATAACAACATTCAAATAAGCGTCCTGCACAGAATAAAATAAATCTAATTCATTTCAGCTCAGGGTTACAGACTACCGAGCACACACAGCAGCAAGAAAAGCACACGAAGGAAATAAAATTTCTGATGCTCTTCAAGCAGTTAGTGACAAACCAAGAGTTATTTTTCAAACTACACCCAGCACAGCTGGAGCAGGGAGAAGTTTGAAGCGTCATGCATTTTCTGGAGTCAGGAATAGGAGTGACTCAATTAAAAAAAATAAATAAAAAATAAAAAAAAGCATCAACGTACGGCGAGGAAGAAGAGCTCCGGCCTGTTTCGGTGGGTGGCCGGTTTCCCCTCGGGCCTGCTGAGCTTATTCCGAGCGCGGGCCCCGGTGTGGCGGAGTCAACCCCTTCCCTGGGGAGATTATTCCCATGGTTGACTCTTCTCATGGTGAACAATTTCCCTCTCGTGTCCAGTCGGAATCCCCGCAAGAGCAACTTGTGTCCATTCCCCCTTGGCCTCTCCATGGGACTCCTTGTGAAAAGAGAGTCTCCATCTTCCTTGGAGCTCCCCCTTAGGTGCTGGTGCGTGGTGATGAGATCCCCTCGGAGCCTCCTTTGCTCGAGGCTGAACAAACCCAACTCTCTCATCCCATCCTTACACAGCAGGCTTCCCAGTCCTCAGATCACAGAATCATAGAATCACAGAATCACAGAATCATAGAACGTTTTGAGTTGGAAGGGACCTTTAGAGGCCATCTAGTCTAACCCTCCTGCAGTGAGCAGGGACACCTTTAACCAGATGAGGCTGCTCAGAGCCTCGTCCAATCTGGCCTGGAATGCTTCCAGGGATGGGGCCTCCGCTAAATGGCAGAAGACCATGGCGAAGACCTCTTCCTGCGGCCTCGCCTGTCTCCAACAAGGGACAAGCTCAAGCGTTGTGGTCAGGCCTTCACACCCCATTTCCTGAGTCTTGTCCGTTCAAGGACATGGGTGAAAAGAGGCCTGGAAACGCTGAGGGCGGTGGGGGTGGCTGCTCAGGACTGGTGACTGCAAGGACGGACCTGCTTGCCCATCCCTAAGGGCTGAGGGGGAGATTTGGCAGCCAGGGGGCTCCTGGTTCTCTTCCTGACGCGGCCCCTGCCTTCCTGGAGCACCCCAGGCAGAGGTCCCTGGCCCCAAAGGGCTGCTGGTGGGCACTGCTCAGCCTGAGCTCAGCTCTGAGTGGAAGAGCTGTAGGTGCGCGTGGGCTGTGTGAGGTCGGTGTGTTTGGAGATGCGACACAGGGCCCTGTGGCCCCTGCTGGGGAGACACCAGGGCCTGCCCTGAGCCTCCGAGACTTCCATGGAGCACAGCACCGTGCCCTCGCTGGCATGGCCATCCACTGCCGCCTTCCTGTTGGAGAGGGTCACCCGCTGCAGAGATGGGCCCGAAAGGCAAGGAGCCCTCCTGGTAGCAGGCTGAGGGGTCACAGAATCCCAGAATCCCAGCATGGCAGGGGTTGGAAGGGACCTCGGGAGATCACCCAGTCCAACCCTCTTGCTAGAGCAGGTTCACCCCGAGCAGGTTGCACAGGACATCGTCCAGGCGGGCTTTGAATATCTCCAGAGAAGGAGAGTTCACAGCCCCCCTGGGCAGCCTGTTCCAGTGCTCAGTCACCCTCAAAGGGAAGAAGTTCTTCCTCACGTTCAATTGGAACCTCTTCTGCTTTGGTTTGTGCCCACTGCCCCTCGTCCTGGCGCTGGGCACCACTGCAAAGAGTCTGGCTCCATCCTCGTGACACCCACCCTGAAGATAGTTGTACATGCTGATGAGATGCCCTCTCAGTCTTCTCTTCTTTGGGCCAAACAGTTCCTCATCTTTCTTGAACCGGGGAGCCCAGAGCTGGACCCAGTGCTCCAGGTGGGGTCTCAGCAGGGCAGAGCAGAGGGGGAGGAGAACCTCCCTCGCCCTGCTGGCCACGCTCCTCTCAATGCACCCCAGGATGCCATTGGCCTTCTGGGCAACCAGGGCACCCTGCTGGCTCGTGGTTCCCTGACAGGGTTTGGCCCCTGAAAGAAAATCCCTCCACTTCCCTGAACTGGCATCCCCCTGGGAGCGAGGCGGGTGGCCAGGGAGCAGCAGGGTCCCTCAGCACAGGGAGCGGGGGTCCCTCAGCGGGGTGTGGGGAGCCCTGCTCACAGCACGGGGTGGGGGGCATTGGCTGGATCATGCCTCCCCCTCATCCATGTTTGCTTTCTCTTCACAGCTTGGCCAGGTTTTTTCAGGCGGATGCGTTTCCTGTAAAGATTTTGGTATTTGTTTTGACTGACTGCAGGACTTTCTTCTGGGAGAAAGGTAAAACGTGAGGCCAGTGAAGCTCCCCACAGCGCTTTTCGGAAACTGCAGATCACTGGGCAGCTCCCAGGGTGTAATTGCTGGCTGCTCTTGCCTACATTTCCCTGCGTTTTTACTTGGGGTCTGGCCTCTGGAGTTCCTCTGGGAAGCTGGTTGGTGGCTTTGGAGGGCTCCTCTCTCTAATCCAGAGCTGGCGACAGCTCAGGAGGGGCTCACGGGTACCTGTGGAGGGGTGGCTCAGATGAAAGGGCAATACAAAGCTTCCTCTTTCTCCTGAGGAAGCACAGGTGGCAGCACCTTTCCGCATGAAAGCATCGCTGCCTTTGATAATTTTCATCTCGGGGGGAATTGTTTTTGGAGGCTCCATCACTCGCCTTGGACAAGACCTGCTGTCCTGTGCTGGGATGGGCCTTGTTCAGCCTCCA